CAGGAGTGACAGGCGGAGCGGTGTGTCTGCAGGGGGAATGAAGGACTCACGAATGGAGTGGCGTGCCTTCCTGTTTGTGTTCACACTGTGTGCGCTGTTTGGGCGAGGTCTAACCGTCTGAGTGTTCATGTTTGTGAATAACTCGGTGTTTGTATATATTACAGGTTAAGTAAGTATCTGTGATATGCAATTTTATCTGTCATTAAAGGAGTGTGTGCTGGTTTTATTGTCTGTGTTTTGTTTTTAGTATATGTGTCCTATCATTAGTCTTTTTAAAAAATAAATATTGTTGAGGATATTACATATGTCCCCTTTTTCCCCCACTGACCCCTCCAGCCTAACCCCCCCCCCCCCCCCCCCCCCCCCCCCCCGTGCCCATGGGTGATGCATATATGCCTACAAGGCCTTTGGTTGATTACCTCCCTCCCACTATCCCTCCCCCTCCCTCCCTCTGAGATTCCACACTCTGTTCCATGTTTCCTTGTCTCTAGATCCACTCCGTTTATCCGTTTATTTTGTTACTTAGATTCCCCATATGAGTGAGATCATGTGATACTTGTCTTTCTCTGACTGACTTATTTCACTTAGCATGATACTCTTCAGGTCCCTCCATGCTGTCTCAAAGGGTAAGAGATCCTTCTTTTTTACTGATGCAGAGTATTCCATGGTGTAGATGTACCACAGCTTTTTTTATCCACTTCATCTACTGATGGGCACTTAGGCTGTTTCCAGATCTTAGCTATTGTAAATTGTGCTGCTATGAACATAGGGGTGCACACATTCTTTCTGAGTGGTGTTTCCAGTTTCTTAGGATATATTCCTAGAAGTGGGGTCACTGGGCAAATGGCAGTTCCATATTTAATTTTTTGAGGAAACTCCATACTGTTTTCCACAGTGGCTGCACCAGTCTGCATTCCCACCAGCAGTGCACTAGGGTTACCTTTTCTCCACATCCTTGCCAGCCCTTGTCATTTGTTGATTTGTTGATGGTAGCCGTTCTGACAGGTGTGAGGTGATATCTCATTGTCATTTTAATTTGCATTTCTCTGATGATCAGTGACTTTGAGCATTTTTTCATAGGTCTCTTGGCTTTCTGTATGTCCACTTTGGAGAAGTGTCTATTTAGGTCCTTTGCCCATTTTTTAATTGGATTGTTTGTCCTTTATTAAGTTGTATGAGTTCCTTATATGTTTTGGATATTAACGCTTTATCAGATGTATCATTGCCAAATATGTTCTCCCATACAGTGGGCTCCCTTTTCATTTTGTTGATGGTTTCTTTTGCTGTGCAGAAGCTTTTTATTTTGATGTAGTCCCATTTGTTTATTTTTCTCCTTAGTTTCCTTTGCCCCAGGAGATGTATCCACAAACATATTGCTATGAGAGATGTCTGAGATTTTGCTGCCTATGGTTTCTTCTAGGATTTTTATGGTTTCCTGATTTACACTTAAGTCTTTTATCCATTTTGTGTTTATTCTTGTGTTTGGTGTGAGTTGGTGATCTAGTTTTATTTTTTTTGCATGTATCTGCTCAATTTTCCCAACACCATTTATTGAAGAGACTGTCTTGACTCCATTGTATGCTCTTGCCTCCTTTGTCAAATATTAATGGAGCATAATGGCTTGGGTAGATTTCTGGGTTCTCTGTTCTGTTCCATTGATCTATATGCCTGTTCTTGTGCCAGTACCAGGCTGTTTTGATTACGGTGGCTTTGTAATACAACTTGAAATCTGGTATTGTGATTCCTCCAACTTTGTATTTCTTTCTCAAGATTGCTGCTGCTATTCAGGGTCTTTTTTTTTATTCCATATAAATTTTTAGAGAATTTGTCCTAGCTCTGTGAAATATGCTGTTGGTATTTTAATAGGGATTGCATTGAATCTGTAGATTGCCTTCGGTAATATGTACATTTTAATGATGTTAATTCTACCAATCCATGAACATGGTATATTCTTCCACATGTTTATATCTTCCTCTATTTCTTTTTTCAATGTCCTGTAGTTTTTTGAGTACAAGTCTTTTACCTCCTTGGTTAAGTTTATTCTTAAGTATCTTAATTTTTTTGTTGCAATGGTAAATGGGATTGTTTGTTTAGTTTCTCTATTGCTGTATAAAAAAGCCATCAATTTTTGGGTGTTGATTTTTTAAAAAAATATATATTTTATTGGTTTTTTACAGAGAGGAAGGGAGAGAGATAGAGAGTTAGAAACATTGATGAGAGAGAAACATCGATCAGCTGCCTCCTGCACATTCCCCACTGGGGATGTGCCTGCAACCAAGGTACATGCCCTTGACCGGAATCGAACCCGGGACCCTTGAGTCCGCAGGCTGACGCTCTATCCACTGAGCCAAACCGGTCAGGGCTGGGTGTTGATTTTTTATCCTGCTACATTGCCAAATTCATTTATGAAATCTAGTAGTTTTTTGGTGGAGTCTTTAGGGTTTCCTATGTACAATGTCATGTCATCTGCGAATAATGAGAGTGTTACTTTCTCCTTTCCAATTTGGATGCTTTTTATTTCTTCTTCTTGTCTGATAGCTGTGGCTAGGACTTCCAGTACTGCATTGAATAAGAGTGGTGAAAGTAGACATCTCTGTCTTGTTCCTGTTCTTAGGGGAAATGGTTGTACCTTTTGCCCATTGAGTATGATGTTGGCTGTAGGTTTGTCATATATGGCCTTTATCATGTTGAGGTATGATCCCTCTAGTCTCACTTTGCTGGGAGTTTTTATCAAAAATGGGTGTTAGATTTTGTCCAATGCTTTTTCTGCGTCTATTGATATAATCATGTGATTTTTCTCTTTCAATTTGTGTATGTGATGTATCATGTTTATTTATTTGCAAATATTGTACCAGCCTTGCATCCCTGGAATAAATCCCACTTGGTCATGGTGTATGATCTTTTTAATATATTGCTGGATGAGATTTGCTACTATTTTGTTGAGGATTTTAGCATCTATGTTCGTCAGGCATATTGGCCTGTAATTCTCTTTCTTTGTAGTGTCTTTATCTGGTTTTGGAATTAGGGTAATGCTGGCCTCAGCAGAGTTTGGAAGTGTTCCTTCCTAGTTCATTAATCTTTGATGATGAGAGTTCTATATATATTTTCAAATTTACCTATATGAACATTTACGTGTGTATACTTGGTCTAGAGCAAGCAATTTTAAAACAGCCAACTGATTGATTTTGCAACATCCATGTTTCTTCTCCCCTTCAGAATCACACACAGAAAATTGATTCCATTCACAAGGGAGGGTTGTTTGGGTGTGCTCCCTTTCGGGCATGCGAGAAAGTTGGAATAATTTCAAGGAGGGCGTATCAAGCTCAGGACAGATCCCAGGTCCCACTTACCAAAGGCAAGAAATCAGGTGTTCCCCTGAAGAAGGAAAGTCTCAGGTGGAACCCCAAGGCACAGCTTATGTTGACATGGGATAAAGGGCCAATCCCTGATCAAAACTCTCGAAGGACAGAAGCCAGAGGAAGACAGCCCACAGAGAAGGGCTTTGAGGACAAGTAGGGCCCAGGCATGGCCAGCTGAGGGGCCCTGCCTTCCTGGAGGCAGAGGAGGATGAGACGACAACTATAGAAGCCACTGCTCCCACCTTCAATATTGTTTGCTCCTTCTCTCCAGGAACAGATACAGACGTGTCTTGAGTGTCTAAGAAAAGAGACAGAGGAGATTCAAGAAATTCAGTCAAGAGAAAATCAAAGGATACACTTCCTCCTGGTAGGACTCCCCCCTGCCTGGCCCCTCCCCTCCCCTCCTCCGTGCCCCACAGTGTATGGGTTTTGATGTCATTAGAGTCTGAATCCTGACTCTGACACTAAGTTGCTCTATGTCTTCTAGCAACTCTCTGTTCTGTGTATTTCTCTGTGAAGTGGAGATTAAAACTTTCCACTACCTCGCGGAATTCTGTAAAGACTGCAATGAGACTGTGCCTGTAATGCAATTAGTGCCGTGCACATCGTATGTTCTTTGCAAAAGGCAGGAGGTAGGGTGTCCCCAGCACCTGCCCTCCGCCTCCCCCGAGGCAAAGCTGGGCAGCCGAGAAGGTGGAAAGGAAGCCCGCTGCCCTCCCACATCTGTCTGGGACCTGGGCCAGGGGCTCTGATTTTACCACTGAGCCATGGAGGATGTGGCCAGGAGAGAGATGGGAGTGAACTAAGGAAAAACAAGGAGGAGGAAGAGGAGAGGAGGGGAGGAATAACTTCCTGCTGACTTCTCTGGCCCCCAGACCCAGGTGGCCACCAGGAGACAAAGAGTGATCTCTGAGTTCGCACGCCTGCGCCAGTTCCTGGAGGAGCAGCACGGGGCTCTCTTGGCCCAGCTGGAGGGGCTGGAGGGGGACATCTTGAAGCAGCGGGATGAGTTTGACATGCTGGTCACTGGGGAGATGAGCCGGTTCAGCGCCCTGATCACGGAGCTGGAGGAAAAGAAGGAGCGGTCAGCCAGGGAGCTCCTGACGGTGAGGCGGCCCAGCCTGGCTTCCTCCTCTCCCGCACCTTCACTCTGTTGAGCCTGTCCCCTTCGCTTCGCGTCTCATCCCAGTGGAAGATGGGCCCCAGGACCTGAGGTTCTGAGTTCTAGTCCTTGCTTCCCTAGTCTCGGTCTGTCCATGCCACCACCCACCTCACAGGGACTTTGTGAGGACCCAACGGTAAATGCCAGGGGAAGCAGCGCTTTGAAAAGCATCAGGTCCGCGTGAACTGTCCTCTGAGCCGCTGCTCCGCAGTCAGGACGTTCTTCCTGGCCTCGTTCACGCCCTCCTGCTGGAGGAGGGAGACTGGGTCTCAGCAAAGCATCAGAAAGGCAGCCCGGGAGGGAGGCCGAGGGGGGCCTGGCCTGCTCTGGCTTCACCCTCTCGCTTCACCTTCTGGAGCTGTAGGCAGGAGGGCTGCGTGAGGGAGGCTGGTGAAGCCCAAATGCTGTGGCTCTGTGGTCTGGGGCCCTTTTCACGCCCAGGGCTAAGGGAATGGTATTTTGTTTTTCTAGTTACAAGGAAAGTGGGAGGAGGAAGGTGGAAACTGAATCCCTGCTTTCTCTCTCTCTCCTCCTAGAATATCAGGAGCACGCTAATAAGGTAAGTGATATAGTTCTCCTTATACACACACACACACACACACACACGCGCGCGCGCGCGCGCGCACGCACACATACTCACACACACCAAGCCCAGGTAGTGCCATGCAAGTGTATGGCACTCCCTCCATAGGATGAAATTCACATGCACTTTCACTTACGCAACCGCATTCCCATATGCAGCCTGCATGGCGCTGCCCAGGAGCGGGCAGGGGGGCCCACCCTGTGGGAGCTGGCAGCTCAGGCCCACTGAGAAGGTGAGTGCTGAGCCTGGAGGTTTTATGAAAGAGGAGAGTCCCAGTGCTGCCATCCTGTGCCCTAGATGTGAAGCCAGAAAGTGCCGGAAACCAGAGGCTGTGTCCCCTGAGCTGGGCCAGAGGATCCGGGACCTCCCCCAGCAGGCCCTTCTGCTGCAGAGGGAGATGAAGGTGTTTCTGGGTAAGCGTTCCCCAGGCCTCCACGCACCCCGCCGGCCAGCACCAGCCACTCCTGGCCCTGCCAGTGCCTGGGTTCCCTTATTTGCAGATCTTTATCAAATCTGCTCATTGGGGTGATGTGACAATGAAAGTAAGTAATAAAGGTGCAGATTTCTGGAAAAAATTTAACTGGTTTGGAAAACACAATCTGGTCAATTGCATTATGCAATCAAGAAAGATAATGATTAGGAAGAAAAATTCCCCTTTGCGACAGCATGGATGGACCTGGAGAACATTATGCTAAGGGAATAAGCCAGTTGGAAAAATACACGTACCGTGTGCTCTCACTCATGTGTTGAATTCAATGAACAAACTGAACTGCCAAGCAAAATAGAGACAGACTCATAGAGAGCAGGCAGACAGCTCTGGTGGGGGAGAGGGCGGGGGGGATTGAGCAAAAAAGAAAAAAAAAAAGAGGACACAGACCACAGTGTGGGGCAGTGGAGGTGGAAGAGGGCATAGAGGGGATACATGGTGATGGAAAAAGTAAAATTTTAAAAATTAAATAATAAAAAGATAGTGATTAATAAAAATCTATCATTCTCAATTATTTAAAAACCCACAGACACATCTGTGGAATAAGTTTTTTATGATGAACACTGTTAGTTAATAACCAGCAGCGAATCTCTGCCTGGCGGGAGCTGATTCGCGCCCCTCTCCCCGCCGCCCTGCGCTCTGGGTCTGGGGCGCCTGCCCTGGACGGTGAACCTTTTCCGGAACAGGGCGGGGAGGAGAGGGTGTGCAGGGTCTGACTTGAGGGTCAGGAATTGGCTCTGTCAACACCCCCCCCCACACACACACAACACCACGAATGATGCCACCGATTTCTAAATGACCCACCCACCGAAGTGTCACCTTGAGCTCTTCCCAAGAGTTCACTCCCTGCTGGTGCTCCCAGGGGCCGGGCAGGGAAAGCAGTTTTACTCTAATCAAAGACTGACCTTGGTCTATCCTGGAAATTTCCAAGCGGAACAAGAAATACGTTAGCCCACTATCCATCCACTAAGTAGCTATTTCTTGAGCACTTACTGTGTCCTAGGCTCTGTGAAGCACTGAGGACAGAGGCCAGCGAGGCAGACAGGCCCCTGCACTGGGCGAGGGCGAGGGACAAGCGGGCTCCCCACCAGCACCGCCCCTGAGCTTATTAAAACACCCACATTCGCGGGTCACCCGGGGCCACCCGGGTTAGAACCAGTCTGGGACGAGCTCAAGTCCAGTCACTGGTGCCGGGCTCCAGGGCTCATTCTTTTCTGCCCTTCTCTCCTCTGGGCCTCAGTTTCTCCGTCATGAACGGATCTGTGGTTTCTGTGAGACTAATAAATTCGCATCCTGTTTTATTTCCTCTTCACAGAAAAACTCTGCTGTGAGTTGGACTATAAACCAGGTAAGCATCCTACCACTGGACGGGAGGGAAAGAAGAATCTAATATTGAGAAGGAAACACACACACACACCCTACTCCTGCCCCGTCTGCCGGTGGCCAGGGGAGAAAGATTAAATCCAAAGGGGAGCAGGCGCCTCGGAGAGGCCTCCTGGCCGGGCAGCTTGGTCTGGGGTGGGTCACACTCCAGAGCAGCGGCTGCCGCTACCCCTTCGCAGCGCAGGCGTTGGAAGGAGGGCAGTGGTGGGGGACGGAATGGGGAGGCGACCCACCCACTCAGGGCTGTTGGTCACTCTCAGCCAAGGCCCGAGAAGCCGCGGGGTCGCGGGGCCATGCAGGTGCCTGGTTTGGCCCTTGGTCTCCATTTGCGGACAGTCACAGGAGGCAGGGCCGGCAGAGCTCTGTTACAAGTGGTCCCAGACCCGGCGGCTTTAGAGGCCGGACGCGGGGCGGGGCCTGGAGGGGCGCAGGTGGGGATGGGGAGTCGGGAGAGGGAGGGACGGAGAGGGAG